TGTTACAAAATTAGGTTAACGGTCATTGAACTTTTCGGGCACTTGAATTTAGGTCTCCCAACTTTTAAAACTTGTAAAATAGTCCTCAATTTCATTCTAAACCCCAATTTCCAAAGTAATTCAATTTCATTCTAAACCCTAAATTCCAAAATATTTCAATTAAATTTTAAACCCCAAATTCTAAAATACTTCAATTTAAGGTTTAGAATGTAATTGAATTATTTTGGAATTTAGGGTTTAGAATGAAATTAAGGTGTTTTGAAATTTTGAACATGAATTTACTATTTGACAATATTTATTTCAATATAAATTTGAGGTTTGTTTAACTATTTATATCAATTTTGAATAACAATATGCATTGATTAAACATCCCGAATAGCAAAATGGAAGCACTCTATTCGGTATTTCAACTTCCCATAAACTCTGCTCATTTCTTCAACTTTTGACTATATGAAATTCGGAACACTCATTTGGAGCATTATGATTTAAGTACCACTATGTTCTTGCATGCTATTTTTTATCAGATTTGAGTACCTAACCCTTCAGTGCTTTACAGTGCAATCATTTATGATTCACCTGAATTTGCTCATACAGTGATCATTTATGATTTAGTAGAATCAATGGTTTAGAAGGAAATTGAATTACTTTGGAAATTGGAGTTTATAATGAAATTAAGGACTGTTTTACAAGTTTTAAAAGTTGAGAGACCTAAATTCAAGTGTCTGAAAAGTTTAATGACCGATTATATAATTTACCCTAATTTCTAACAGTGGTTTAAGTTGGGGGACCATATTGCAAATGGAATAAATGTTAGGGGACTGTATTGCAAGTTTTAAAAGTTGGGGGACTTAAATGAAAGCTTCAGAAATGTTCAGTGACCATTACTATACTTTACCCAATAAATAAATGTGTAAATTAGTACGAAGTGATTGCTTTAAATAAATAAACGTGTAAATTAGCACGTACCAGTTTTTAATGTCAAAGAGAACACAACAAGAATCAGGTCATGGATCGCTTTACGGACTTGGAAAATCAGCCCGTTTAAAGACGTGTTCTCCTTGCTCTGTAGCCTTGGAGGCCATAGAAGAACAATAGAAACGTAAACAAACACCTTCAGTAAAGGCAATTCTTTCAGGGCTTCAATGAAAATCACATATTCTATGGATAATTACTGACACTCGTTTCCCGTACGATGAAATATCTGTCGCTTAGGACTTATTTTATTCATTTTACTTCAAGGTGCATGAACACATATTTTGGTCACGTTCTACGTACTTTTTGCAAAAGGCTTTACAATTTCGACGTGAAAATAATTGGCATTTTGTTATGATGTGGGCCACTTGATAACTCGTGACGCAAACAAAGAAACATTGAATATAGTAGTACTATTAATATTTTATAATATATTAATTAAATAATACTAATACATTATTATAAAAACATATTAATTATAAAATAAGTTATTATATGAATAATAAAATGTAAGAATATATTGTTAGTAATGCTCTGAATTTTTATGTCATTTATCCTACATTTGGAAGGAAATTACCTTTGAAAAGGTTTATGTATGAAAACTCATTCCTTTGTTTGTTGAATGTGGTATGACAAGTTCTTCGCACGCGTATACAGTTATCGTTGCCAGTTTACTTTTAAAATAGTAGTTCGCCATGACACAATTTACTGTTCATTCATTTCTGTTATTTTTATTTAATTATCCAGTCGGTTTTAACATCTCAATTTTGTATTCATTATTTTCGACATATATTTATCAACTATATTATATATTATTAATTCAAGTTAATGGTTAGTTATTAAATTTTCATGCTATCACTACTTTTATATTTTTTCATATTCTTTATGATACATTAGATGAGATTCATTTAATAAAAATAAATAATAAATTTAATTAATAAAATATTTATATTGATGTGACATGTCTATACTTCAAACATATAATATATATTATTTTATTATATTAAACACGTTATATATATCACTTCATCACTTTGGACACGTGTTACATAACATGTCATTATTTATATATACACAATAATGGCATATCATTACTTTGTGACATGTGTTAAATGTTATGTCATCATTTATACATATATTATATGTGACATAAAATAAAATAGTAAAAAGCTAAAATTTATAAAATAAATATGAATTAAAGTTACTAGGCAATTAAATGTTGGATATGAATTTAAACATTGCGCTTTTTAAATTAAACTAAAATTGTAAACTTTATTTTTATCCGGACCCATAACAAACTCAAGGTCAAAACTAAAATTCAAAACTAATTTTTGACATTAGATGGTAATGCAATTATCTCTTAAATATTACATATTTAAGGATTATTATAATAATACTTTCTTTATATTTTGGTAAACTACGGAGTTGATCATTTTTATTTTATTCTTTTAATGTACAGTCCCTCGACTTGAAAAAGTTAATCTGTAGTTATTTTTATTTTGTTTTAATTAAGATATGGTCACTGAAATGTTAATTTTCGTTAGTTTGATGACGTGATATGTTAATAAAAGGGATTAATTTTTATTTTAACCCTTGAACTTTAGATAAAATACTAATAATAGACCTTTTTGTAAACCCAAAATAATTTAGGGATAAAAATTTAATTTTTGCTTTCTCTTTCAAATCAGCTTCTCCTATGGCATCTTCGTTATCCACTTTCCATATCTCAACTCTTCATTTCCCCCTCGAAACATGGACAATGGCAAGCTTTCCAGTTCTCTTTGTCCTTCACCCATCAACTTCTCCCCGCTCATCTCTTCAACTCCAAGCTGCTGCCCCCACGTCGTCTTGGCTACGAACCTGGTGCACGATCCTAGGTTTCGTTGAAGAATCCTCGAAAGCCAAGGACAGCCCACCCACGTGCCGTTCGCCTTGTGGAATTCGACGGCGATAACTCCCCCTCACGTCCAAATTCCCATTACTCTCAGCTTCAGCGCGTGGGCTCCATGGCGTCGAGAAGTATTGACAGTGCCGTCGTCGTCTCGATCTTCGACGTTATCAACTATCGACCAAACATCATCTTCACCAAGTTCCGCGTCGTCAACGGTAGTGTCCCCTTGGCCGTGTCCATAGCTAAAGTTTCCGAGAAACCGCTAGCTTCTGCTGGTGGTCAACCGCCGGCCTTTCGCCATCAAACAACCAAATACCATTCAATATCAAAAACCAAAATATCAAATATCGAGAAAAGGAATTGAAAACGGAAATTAAATAAGGTAAGAAAAAAAAGAAAATTAAAAATATAATCTAAGAGGGTGGGGTAATTTGAAAGGGAGTCCATTAGAGAAAAGACTCAAAACATTTTTTTTTCATTTTCCGTTGGTAGAGAAGATGGAGGTTTGCGGCGCAAGAAGATGGGGTCAGAGAAGAAAACATATTAAAAAAAAGGAGTAAATTAAATTTTTGTCCTTAAAATATTTTGGGTTTATAAAGAGGTCCATTATAGTATTTTATTTAAAGTTTAGGGGTCAAAGTAAAATTAGACCCTTTTACTAATTTGTCATGTCATCAAACTAGCCGAAGTTAACGTTTCAGTGATCGCATCTTAATTAAAACAAAATAAAAGTAACTACAATTAACTTTTTTTAATTGAGTGACATACGTTTAAAAAAATGAAACAAAAGTGAACAATTATATAGTTTACCCTTATATCTTTTCTTATTTTATTTTATTTATCAAATAAATATGAGAATTGTATATATATATATATATTTATCGATTCGAGTGCCTTTTTTCACTATAAAATATAGATAAATTCAAATCGATTGAAGTCCTTTTAAATTATGATGAGATGGATGACCGATGAAATATATAAAATTTAATTAAGTCCTAGATGTACGTATCTACCTTCCGGTCCTAAAGAAATCAGGTGGAGATAGGATTTGGGCCTTTGATCATCCTGCAAGAAGAGATGAATTATGCAATTATGAGAGAGAACGTGGGTTTTGGCCTAAATCAATTACACCGCAACAAAGGATCGTGTCCTGCCTGTATCAAATGACATATGGTTATGATTTTTCTAATATTGTCTTTTTTATTAATATGCACGAATATAAAATAATATTTGCTTAAAAAATTTAATCAGTTAATATTATATTTTCATACATTCCGTGTGGTACTCGAACTTAAAACTTTAATAACATTTTTAACTATTGAAATCACTCGATTTATGCACATTTAAATATACTTAAATATATTTAATTTAAATAAATTCATTAATCTCCATATAAATATCTCATTGTTCAACTTGATTCTATCACATTTTAAATTAAAATTGATCGTTCAAAGCAAATATAGTTGTAAGAAATTAAATGGACAAGGTCAGAGGGAGAATTTGGTCAATTCACGGCAGCCACGGAAGGAACAGATTATTTCCGAATCCACGTCATCATATTCCGGGCTCCACTCATTTCCATCTACCAATATTAATGGCTTCATACGTATGACATAATTCGTATTGAAATCCTTCACTCTTATCCCTCCCTGACCGTTGCCACCCTCCATTCCTTCCCGCCACGCCAACAAAAAGCCATATTCCGTTGTTTCTGCTACGGAGGTTGAAGGTGGAAAATTGAGCACGAAAAAGAATAGTAATGATACGACGACGGTGAATGTTCGGACGACGAGGACACGCGTAGGAAGTACGAACCGGGAAGGAATTTGAGCGAGGGGAGTTTTGCCAAGGTTAAATTCGCTAAGAATGTCGAGACCGGCGAGTGTCTCGCCATTAAAATCCTCGACCGTGATCAAGTCCTCCGTCACCGGATTGTCGAACAGGTAAACAAGAATCCCATTGCTGAAATTCAATCATTTTCTTTTGGATTAAGGGTGATTTTGTTTGGGGCAGATAAAGAGAGAAATATCAACAATGAAGCTTATAAAGCATCCCAATGTAGTTAAAATCTATGAGGTACGTAAACAAATTAATCCCTGGAATTATGATGTAAGGTTGATTAATCCCGTTTAGGGTTATGGCAAGCAAGACAAAGATTTATATCGTGATCGAGTACGTTGGTGGAGGCGAGCTTTTCGACAAAATTGTAAGCGGTTGTCATTAAGTTATAAACGCTCATGGAGTTTATTGTTTATGATACCAAAAATCTTTGATATTTTTTAGGCCATGCGAGGGAGACTCAAAGAGGATGAAGCCAGGAGCTATTTCCAGCAGCTTATTAATGCTGTTGATTTCTGCCAGGGTACAGGCGTTTTCCATAGAGATTTGAAGGTTCAACTCTCCCTTTGATGTAACTGATTCATTAGATGAGTGTGTTTCAAAGCTTTTGATTTTAGAAATTGGAGCTTGGTTCGTTCTAGCTTCTAATTCCATATGTAATTGTCCATTTTTGCAGCCTGAGAACTTTCTTCAGGATTCCAATGGTGTTCTTAAAATATCGAATTTTGGATTGAGTGCTTTTTCAAAGCAAGTTCGGGTAAGCATATAGTGTAACCATAAAATCCTACTTTTGTTCCTGCTTATAACAATATTCTTCCCAATGTAGGAGGATGGGTTGCTTCTCACGGCTTGTGGGACTCCGAATTATGTTGCTCCAGAGGAATGTATATACCATGACTTCATAAAGATAGTGAGCCACAATACTGCGGTTTCTTCGTCATTCGTGTCCGATATTTCCTTATCAGGTGCTTAAAAATCAAGGTTACGACGGTCGAGCATCGGATATTTGGTCTTGTGGAGTTATTCTCTTTGTACTTATGGCTGGTTATTTGCCCTTTGATGAACCAAACCTTATATGCTTGTATAAGAAAGTAAGTAACCTCCATATCCGCCTTCTCTTTTTCATGCGAAGTTGCTTATGACTTTTGGTACATCTTGATAAAATTTTCAGATCACAAAGGCCGATTTCACTTGTCCTTCATATTTGACGACTAGTGCAACTTATTCTTGATCCAAACCCTCTTACGGTAACCCTTCATGCTTTGCATTTTATGATCATCTGCTGTCTTTGAAGCCTCTTTACTGTGTATGATACATGCATTTGTGTTGAAAATTTGCGTGTTAATTGTGCCAGCGTATAACTGTTCCTGAAATTCTAGAAGATGAATGGTTCAAGAAAGGGTACAAACCGCCCCAATTCGAGCAGGAAGAGGATATAAATCTCGATGACATCGACAACGCCTTTAATGACTCAACGGTAGTTCATTTCATACTCTATCTGTTCTGTTTCTCTGCCTAAACAGAGTGACTACAGAAGCATATACAAGCGCTTTACAACGTGGTCTGATAGACTGTTATCTGTTGTCCCAAAACCAAGTACTTGATTAATGTTATTCCGTTTTCCAGGAAAATCTTGTAACAGAAAGGAAAGTGAGACCTGTTTCGATGAATGCTTTCGAGCTCATCTCCAGGTCGCAAAGCTTTAGTCTAGACAATTTGTTTGAGATGGTATGCAATTAAAATCCCTCTAGTTTTCACTATACTGAATGTTGAATGCAATGTGTTTAGACTGGATCCCCACTTTCCATCTTAGCTGAGTGTATCCCTTTTTGTTTGTTGATCCGAATTGGAATGGCAGCGTCCTGCGAAGCGAGAAACCAGTTTTGCTTCCCAATGTCCTCCGAACGAAATCATCTCCAAAATTGAGGAAGCTGCAAAGCCTCTAGGTTTCAATGTTGACAAGCGAAACTATAAGGTTCGATTCATCTTCATCTACGTTGCAACTGCTGTTTGTATGCCTACAACTTCTGTTTCATGTCTCATGTACTTGTATAATTCACATTGCCATAGATGAAGTTGAAAGGTGACAAAAGAGGGAGAAAGGGACAACTATCCATAGCTACCGAGGTAACACAATACTCCCTGTTTACAATGCACATCTTATTCGATATCGGAGAAAAACAACACGATAATTCATCGCTCTTTGATCTCAGGTGTTCGAATCCAGGTTGCTCCCTGCTTACATGTGGTGGAGTTCCGGAAAACCGGCGGAGACACATTGGAGTTTCACAAGGTACACACTTGAATTTTAATCTGTTTTTGTTTTAACTCTAATTTGTCGAATGTCGATCAAATCTAACCTTGCAATAACTGTGTGATACCCCATTTTAGCTGTGGTTTTTTTAACATGACAGTTCTACAAAAACTTTTCATCTGGATTGAATGATATAATCTGGAAAACTGATGGAATTCCTGAAGAAAAGAGAAGTGCGTGGGCATTAAATGCATTTAATTCCAATTTCATTTAGTTTATTTCATGTCAAAATAAAGTTTCTCGACTGTTATTTGATTGTGCAGGTCATAAGAAGGCGGCATGCGACCGTTTGTTCTAGCTTAGCCACCGTTAATTAACGATGTACACTTATTTTTTTTCCTTCCGTTGATTATTTTTTTAAAAATTATTATATATTTGCACATTTGTATAATTACGTTAGAATAATTAAATGTAATATATAAAAGAAATTATAAATAATATTAATATTTTTATAATTTTCTCTGTTCAGTTGTTTTGGCAGTTTTAGGATTTTTCTTTCATTACCCAAAGGACAATTACAAATTAACAAGAAAAATCAACACTCTATTAATTTAGGGATTAAATGTTTGATTTTTTTAAGTAAGATTAAGAATTTAAATTTAAAATAAATTAAATTGAGAGGATTATTCATATTATAATTTTTATAATATTTAATATAAACTAATAATAGTAAATCAATTATTATTTTTTAAAATAACTGCATCAATTGTTCATTATTAAGAAATATAAACAAATTTGGGTTACAATATATATTTTCCTTTAAAAATATCCTTCTTTGTATATCCATGATTAATGTCACATGCAAAGATGATGTGGTCCACTAAGTACCTAACACGTGATGGCATTAGGAAATGGTCATTTGAAAAAGAAAAAGAAAACTCTTTTAGAGAAATTGAAAAAATAGGAGTAATATTTTAAAAAATAATTTTACAAAGCATCAAATTATATATATATATATATATATATATATATATTAAAAAAAAAATTAAGAATCGTTATTTTAAATATTTCCTATTTTTTGACTAATTTTTATATATTTAACAAAATAATTATTTTATCGCACTTTATCATAACATTTTATGACAGTTTTTTTAGCTGTTCGCATCATCCTAATAGATGGCTTAAATAGAAATAAAGGTTTACCATTTCAAAGAATAAATCAATAAAAAAAATTATTCAAACATCAAAATGAGGAAAACAAACAACTTTATAACTAAATTTAAATAAAAACATATATATAATTCCAATTGAATTGGGTAAAGCCAGTTTAGATTAATAAATCCAAATTGAATTGCGTAAAGCCCGTTTAGATTGAATTAGATTGGGTAAAGCAAGTTTAAATTTTGATTTTAATTTTATTGAATTGAATGATAAGAAAACAATATTTTGAAGTAGAAATTTAGAATTAATTAAGTAGAACCTAAGACCGGTAGGGTAGGCCGGAAAGTACAGTGTTTGGGGAATTTGGAGAGTTAGCGGCAACCTTGTTTGACCAATGTAGCTTAGCCTGTATTTATTATTCTCTATTGCAAGTCACCTAAACTCCACCGGCCGATTTCCACGCGTCTCTCTCTTTTGACCTTTTAATTTACGCTTTCCTCCGTTGCTGAGCTTTGAAACACAACCCAGTTTTGTTGGCAATATCCAAAGGATAGCAAAGCACTCTTCCAGCTTCCTTGAAAGCAACCTCCTAATCTCACATGGCGGCACAGTCATCAATTAGCATCCCAACTCCCACACCTCTAAAATACCAGCATTTTCCCCAGTTTTTCAACATTTTGTCTCAAAAACGAAAATGTTTTAATTATTATTAATATTACTGTTGCTAAATTACTAATCCCGTAACACATATATTCTTAAGCTGGTTGAGCTATCTATCCTTTTCTTGGACCTCTACCCACCATTAATTCAACACTCTGTTTCCGTCCAACTTTCCTTTTTTTGTAGTTATTGTTGTATTTAATTCCTACTGGTCTAGCTTCCCTCTCCCTCAGGCTTCAAAAGCAAGATTTTCCCTTTTTTTTAGGTGATTTTAGTTCATCTTCTTTAATTAAACACAAGCAAACAGTCATTTTTCCTTCAGAGCCACTCAAACTATGGATAGGGATAGTATAGAGATGGACAAAGAACGTCTGACGGCGGAAATGGCGTTCAAAGACTCGTCCTCCGCTGTCATCAGGATCCGTAAAAGGTTGCCTGATTTCTTGCAATCTGTGAAGCTTAAATACGTTAAATTGGGTTACGGTTATTCATGTAACCCGGTCACCGTTCTCATATTTGCTCTTATCCTACCTTTGTTCATTATCGCTTTAGTTCAGTTCACCGGTCTGAAACCGGACAGAGTTTCCCAGTTATGGACCAACCAAGCCCTTAGGCTTGAGAGCATTGATGCTGCTACGAGACTATCTGGTTTGTTAATCTTATTCTTCCTCTTCGGTCTCTACTATGCAAAGCGATCCAGGCCGGTTTATCTCCTCGACTTTGCTTGCTACAAGCCTGAAGATGATCGTAAAATGTCGGTCGACTCGTTCTTGAATATGACTGAAGAGAGCGGCGCTTTCATGGAGGACACGCTTCAGTTTCAGAGAAGGATATCGACTCGGTCCGGACTAGGCGACGAGACGTATTTCCCGAGAGGGATAACGTCTAAGCCACCGAATCTGTGCATGGAAGAGGCTCGAGCTGAAGCTGAAGCTGTCATGTTCGGATCAGTCGACCAACTTTTCTCGAAAACCGGAGTTAACCCGAGGGATATCGGCATTCTTATTGTGAATTGCAGCTTGTTTAATCCGACACCGTCGCTCTCGGCCATGATTGTCAACCATTACAAGCTACGTACAGATATCAACAGCTACAACCTCGGGGGAATGGGTTGCAGTGCCGGCCTTATATCGATCGATCTCGCAAAACACCTCCTTCAATCCAACCCAAACACGTATGCCTTAGTGGTGAGCACCGAAAACATTACTCTCAATTGGTATTTTGGGAATGAAAGATCCATGTTGCTATGCAATTGCATATTCCGCATGGGTGGAGTCGCGGTCCTGTTGTCGAACAAGCCACGAGATAAGGCTTGTTCCAAGTACCAGCTTGTTCATGTGGTTCGAACCCATAAAGGAGCCGACGACAGACATTACAACTGCGTGTACCAAAGAGAGGACGACAAAGGAAAGATCGGAGTTTCATTGGCTCGTGAGTTGATGGCCGTGGCCGGTGACGCTTTGAAAACCAATATCACCACGTTGGGTCCCCTCGTTTTACCATTCACGGAGCAGTTCATGTTCTTCATCACGCTCGTCCGGAGGAAGCTTTTGAAAGCCAAAGTGAGTCCTTATATACCCGATTTCAAGCTCGCTTTCGAGCATTTCTGTATCCACGCCGGCGGAAGGGCGGTGCTGGATGAATTACAGAAGAACTTGCAGTTATCGGATTGGCACATGGAACCCTCGAGAATGACTCTACATAGATTCGGAAACACTTCGAGTAGCTCATTATGGTATGAATTGGCTTACACGGAGGCCAAGGGACGGGTATCGGGCGGTGACCGGGTGTGGCAGATTGCATTCGGGTCGGGTTTCAAGTGTAACAGTGCTGTTTGGAGAGCTCTTAGGTCCACTCCCGTGAATGAGTCAAGAGGAAATCCTTGGAAGAATGAAATTGATAAATATCCGGTCAAAATATCTCTCGCTTGAGAATGCTGACCTGGCCCGGATCTGTAGGCTGTTTGCCATAGGCGGTGGGGTTCCTACACATCTATATTATTAATTGAATTTTTTTTAATTTTCTTCACTTTTAATAAAAACTATTTTCTGGTAAATTAGGCACATCAAACATGGATAATTTTATTCACATCATTCTTGGGATTAAATTTGGAGTGATATTTTATACAATATAATTCTATCAATTGCTAATAAACCAAATTTTTATTTTTTCTAAATTTTTTTTTATTTTTCACTTCTTTTTACTTTTTAATCATCAAATTTTTAATATTTTATAAAGTTAAATCATCTCAAAAATCTAACCCCAAAATCACTTGAACTTAAACCTAAAAATACCAAACTCAAACCTACCCAAATTGAGATCCACTTGCCACCTCTAATTAAACGTGTCTATTAGGCACATAAAATATTCTCCCATCAATAATATAATATCAAATAAAAATATGATAAATTGTATTAAATTTTAGAGTTTGAATTATTTATTTCATTGATTTTTATATTAAATTATAGTACCTGATTTTCATTTAATTGTAATGTAAGTATTTAGCTATCAAAATTTAAACGATGCGGCAGTACAGATAGATATTTTTATCACAATGATAAATAAATCAAAACAATATCATTTTGGAGAATTATATAAAACTTATTTTATGTTTTTCTTTTTATTTTCTCACATTTTTTAAGCTAATCACGAATTTGATCAAGCTTTCATTCGTCGATGTTAGTCTCATCTTTGGTGGTCGAAATTTTATAAAATATATCTTTCAATTTATTTCTTTTTCTAAACCCAAATACAAGCTCAATTTTTCTTAAATCTAAATATTTGATATTTCATCATCGAATTGTCTTGATTTTCAACTATATTGTTTCTATTGTTCTATCGTGTCTCGTCACTATTTGATTCTTAAGATGATATTCCGGTTACAAAAAATAATAATTTACCGGAGAAGATGAGACCTTTTATTTTATTTTATTTGTTTTGGTTTAATTTTTTTAACATTTTTTATAGATTAGGAGTTAAGGTTATTATGCTTTTCTAATTGATATTTTAGTTATTTTTTATGTAAAAAACAAATTTTTTATATTTTTAATATTTAAGATAATAATTTTCAGTAATGAATTGTTTGCTTGCTGGTGATACTATTAATGTGATCATTGATTTTTGGACGTTAAAAATTCTCAAATCTCAGGGATTGAATGGGATTTGGTAAAAAAATTACACTTTACTTGTTATTGCTATTGCCTTGTATGCATTTAAGAAAGTTAATATTGCATCATTAATTAGCTGCTATGCGTATGGCATACAGGAGAGGGTCGAAGTTTGGTGAATACAATGTTCCTGCAACAGCCGAGGGATTTACAGTAATCTTCGACACAGTTTGATTCTAATGCCATGTTGGTGATACTAATATTAAATAAGTACAAAACAAGCTATACAGTGCGAAAAGATGAACAAAACGGAAAGCTAATATTATAAGAGAGGAT